ATGAACTGGACAACCAGCCTCTTTCGGAAGAAAGAATCCTGCGCTGCCGACAGGACTTTATGTCGCAGAAGAAGGCTGTGAAGGCGCTCCTGCGCTGCTTGCGTTACAACCTGCTTGTCCAAACGACTGTGATCGGAACTCCCTGAATGTGTGCGCATGTGTTTTTTTCTTCTAATTTATTTTTCTCTCTCTATTTCTATCCTCTTTCCGATCCTTTTCCCCACCCCCGTACAGGGTAGCAAACCAGTACGTCTAGGTTAACCTCCCTGTCTCTTCCTTTTATTTATTTCCCTCTCTCTCTGAATGTCACTCATTTCTCGAACCACTAAAAACAACAAGGGATTCATTCCCTTAGATGAAGGAACTGGAAAATGAACAGTTTCGATAAGGTAGAATAACAGAATTCACAAGGAAAGCCGTCTCCGAGGCTCAATGGATATGACGCCGTGCCGCTAAGCACAAGGTTCAGGATTGGATTCCTATACTTACGTGACCAGCTTCTTTCAACTTGAAAGTGTTTTATGCCGGGGTCCTCCACGGCTGTCGCTGACGTATTTACGTCACGGCTATGGCATTGTAAAATATATTCTAAAATATGGCGAAGAAAATAAAACGAGAAGAGTCAGACAACCACGCGGCGTCGAATCAGCAACCTATCGATTCCCAGATTGTGGCGCTAACCACTATGTAACGAAGCGCATGTTGTTGAACATGCTAAGGGCAAGCCATTTATATACACAGAATACACCGTGTGGCTCTCCTCAAAGCTCTGAAACGTTAGCGCGTTTTTGTTATCTCCTCGAGGCAATGTCATCTTCTGTCCTAGGTAGTCGTCTGTCCTTTACATCATTCAGCGTCTCTTCACCTTTCGCAAAGCGCTGTTTTCTGCAGATACTGCTGTACGTTACTATATGTTTTAAACATAATAATCTCCAGACCTATTTTTCTGCTTTCCGTGTCGAAAAATCACCGGTGACGCAGGCACTGCAGAATGAGGGTATCGACGAGCTCTACATAAACACACTGGAAAAAATCTAGAGTGCATCCACAGTTACTACCGTTTTCTATAGTGAAACTAACAGAAACCCAATAAAGAAGGGTGTAAGGCAGGACGACACTATCTCACCAATGCTATTCACCGCGTGTTTACAGGAAGTTTTCAGAACCATAAATTGGGAAGAGTAAGGGATGAGAGGTGATGAAAAGTGTCTTAGGAACGTGCGATACGCTGAGGACATGGCCTTGATGCGAAACTCAGGGGACGAATTATAGCTCAATTTCATCTCATTCCTTTCTAAATCTTACATTTAATGTATTTGCTTAATTCCTGACATTTTCAACGTTCCTCTTTCTTCCATGTTGGCTCTCCTCTCATGTGATTCCCCAACCGGGGCCTTGAATTGTTAATAAATGATGATGATGATGATGATTACCGGACAATGCCCGAAGAAATCACGTTCGAACGAAGTTATTCTGGGGCTATCATAACTGAAGCTACCCTGTTTCGGTCACCATATATTTGAATTGACTTTTAAAACTAATAAGAATCACACATCGCTGTCAGAACCTATTCAAAAGTCCACAAGAGGCAGGAAGCGAAATACGAACAGCAATTTGCTCCCCTTTAGTGCGAGCCTACTTTGTGGTCACCGTCCCTAACTGGATTGGTGGCCGCGGCTCTTCAGCGTAGTGCGGATAACTTGCAGTACCCTGAGTGGACACAGAGGAATAATTTACACACATTAGTTGTACTAGTGAGTAACCTTATGGCAATATTAAAACGCAAGACTTGCCTTGAGGGGACGCTTCGTGTAAGACGAAAAATATTCAAGGTTCAAAACCTCCAAGACCTTTTCGTCAAGAAAGAAACGTGTGCAGACGTCATCTTCCATTTCTCGCTCTATAGCGCCACGAAGGTTCGGATTATGATGGTGTATGCGGCGGTCTTCACGTTGTGCAGTGGAAGTTGGAGGCAGGGTAGTTAGACAGGACACTGGCAAGCTTTTCCAGGAAATGAAGAACCTAATTAAGAAGCGTCAAATCATGAAAGTGTCAAGTACAACAGACAAAATAGAACTGGCAGAGCTTTCGAAGTGGATTAATAGACGTAAGGTATGCGATGTAAGAAGGTATAACATGGAGAGAATTGAACACGCTCTGAAAAACGGAGGAAGCGTCAAAGCAGTGAAGAGGAAACTTGGGATAGGCAAAAGTCGGATGTGTGCACTAAGGGACAAAAAAGGCAAAATAACTACCAATATGGATAGGATAGTTAAAATAGCGGAGAAGTTTTACACAGATCTGTACAGTAGCCGAGACAACCACGACCTTAATACTACAAGAACTAGCAGTAACCCAGGTGACACCCCACCAGTAATGATAGAAGAAGTCAGAAAAGCTTTGGAGAGCATGCAAAGAGGCAAAGCTGCTGGTGAAGATCAGTTAACATCAAATCTGCTGAAAGATGGAGGACAGATTGTGTTAGAAAAACTAGCCACACTGTTTACGAGGTGTCTCCTGACGGGAAGGGTACCAGAGTCTTGGAAGAACGCTAACAGCATCTTAATACATAAGAAAGGAGATGACAAGGACTTGAAGAATTACAGGCCGATCAGCTTGCTCCCTGTAGTATACAAGCTATTTACAAAGGTAATTGCTAACAGAGTAAAGAAAACATTAGAATTCAATCAACCAAAGGAACAAGCAGGATTTCGAACAGGCTACTCAACAATTGGCCACATTCATACTATCAATCAGGTAATAGAGAAATGCTCAGAGTATAACCAACCACTATACATAGCCTTCATAGATTACGAGAAGGCGTTTAATTCAGTAGAACTATCAGCCGTCATGCAGACACTGCGGAATCAGGGCGTAGATGAAGTATATATAAACATTCTGGAATAAATATACAGGGGATCAACTGCTACCATAGTGCTTCATAAAGAAAGCAACAGAATACCAATCAAGAAGGGTGTAAGGCAGGGGGACACAATCTCCCCAATGCTATTTACCGCGTGCTTACAGGAAGTTTTCAGAAGCCTAGATTGGGAACAGTTAGGGATAAGAGTTAATAGAGAATACCTTAGTAACCTGCGCTTCGCCGATGACATTGCATTGCTGAGTAACTCAGGGGACGAATTGCAACTCATGATTACGGAGTTAGACAAGGAGAGCAGAAAGGTGGGTCTTAAAATTAATCTGCAGAAAACGAAAGTAATGTACAACAACCTCGGAAAGAAGCAGCGCTTCGAGATAGGTAATAGTGCACTTAAAGTTGTAAAAGACTATGTCTACTTAGGGCAGGTAATAACCGTAGAGCCTAACCACGAGATTGAAGTAACTAGAAGAATAAGAATGGGGTAGAGTACATTCGGCAAGCACTCTCAAATTATGACAGGTAGATTGCCACTATCCCTCAAGAGGAAGGTATATAACAGCTGTATCTTGCCGGTACTTAGCTACGGAGCAGAAACCTGGAGACTTACAAAGAGGATTCAGCTTAAATTGAGGACGACGCAGCGAGCAATGGAAAGAAAAGTGGTAGGTGTAACCATAAGAGACAAGAAGAGAGCAGAGTGGATTAGGGGACAAACGGGGGTTAAGGATATCATAGTTGAAATAAAGAAGAGGAAATCGACATGGGCCGGGCATGTAGCGCGTAGACAGGATAACCGCTGGTCATTAAGGGTAACTAACTGGATTCCCAGAGAAGGGAAGTGGGTTAGGGGGAGACAGAAGGGTAGGCGGGCAGACGAGATTAAGGAGTTTGCGGGTATAAATTGGCAGCAGCAAGCACAGGACCGGGTTAACTGGCGGAACATGGGAGAGGCCTTTGTCCTGCAGTGGACGTAGTCAGGCTGATGGTGATGATGAGGAGTGGATCATACAGCGAAAAGAAACACAGACACGCAAGCGACACACACACACACACACACACACACACACACACACACACACACACATACACACACACACAAGCACACACACACACACAACACACAACACACACACAACACACAAACACACAAGCACACACACACACGCACGCACACACAAGCACACACAAACACACAAACACACAAGCACGCACACACACAAACACACAAACACACAAGCACACACACACACACGCACGGACACACAGACACAAAGTTTCAGCGGAATTTTGCACCTTCCGTAACACTTGAATGGGGAAGGATGCTGCACGTTTTGCAATGCGTTGTTATACAATCACAGACCAGATTTCTTGGACGGCAGAATAAGCCACCTCGTGTAGCGTGCATCAGGAACATAGTATAGGGCGGTTTGGGTTTTCAAACCTATCCGAAATATGTCAGTTTGGCTTGCGTACATATACACTCGCGAGCGCATGCAGGAACATACATGAAGTATGAGAGATTCTCCCCCCCCCATTCCCTCCCGAAACAGGTTTGTGGCTATGCCCCTGACGAGCATTCGATTAGAATGACACTCTCATTTGAGTGAGTTGTTCCTTCGTCCACTCCCTGAAGCTTGTCGGGGAATGGAAAAATCATCAAGAACTGGAGTAAGCCCTCCCACTCGAGCTTCTGCGCTGCCCCCTAGGTCAGCCCATTTTGGAAGGGGTAACTATGTATATATAGTGGAATTTCTTCATCAGGACTGCATGATGAAGTCACCAATTTTGACGACGTGTGGTCTCATCGCATGATTTCTTTACATCACGCGCGACGGCGCCAGCGATCACTGTTCGCATTCACGAGGCATCAAAGACCTTCACTTTAACAGTGGATGATTTCTTGCCAGCTGTTTCTGCGAAGTTTTTATAACGATGTGACCCTCGCAGCGAGTTATCTTGAAGGTCCCACGCATATACTTGGTTGCACAAAACCTCGTCTTTGGAGCTCGCTGCTTTGCCAAACGAAATCGCTGCGCATTTCACAAGTGCGCAGCCATTATTCGTAGTGTGTAAGAATCAACGTACAAACGTAGAACTCTCATTGTTGCCAACTGCGCAGGAGGCGAGCGAGCTCTACCTCAGCCTGGACCCGGGCCTGTCCGAACTCACCGAGGCCCTGTACGCACTGCTGTCGCACAACCGGTGGTACCACTTCGTGCTGCTCACCGACGAGTCGCCCGACGCGTCCACCATGGCCCGCAGGCTGGCCACCCTGTGTCAGGGCACCCCTTGGCGACCGCTGCTGCACGTCACACTCCCCGCGGCAGCTTCCGGTTCCAACGGCGTTGACGACGAGGACGCCGAAGAGCGGCCGCCGCCCATGCTCAATCAACTGGCACGCGTGGGTTCGAGTCCTGCCCGCGTGCTGCTGCTATTCGCCGAACCGACGCTGGCCCGAGCCGTGCTGGACGCGGCGCGCACGCTTAACCTGCTCGCCGGCGAGCACTTGTGGTTGTTTGTCGAGAGGGCCGATCCACATCCCAGAGCAAAGAGTCCGTGCCGTGAGTTCTTTCTTTCTTTACGTCGTTCCTTTTCCGTTGTTTTCTACTAACTTGCCACAGAGCTCTCACTTCTGGTACTCAACAACTGACCCAAAGGTCGTGGGATCGACTACCGGTCGTATCTTTAATGGAGGTGAAAACGCTTCGCTCCAGTATAGATTTTGATGTACGTTGAAGAACCCCGGAAGGCAGATATTTGAAGAGCCCTCCCTTATGCCGTCAACTATATCGTGGTTTTGGGGGCTCAAAGCCCGACAATTGTTATATATTAGTATGGCTCCCTGTGTGCTGTCGATATACGGTTGGCTTATGAAGTTCGGGCGCCTTCGTGGAATTGACGCAATCAGCGGCTGTCTAACGCGTGAGTGTAAGCTGTAGTATAGAGATGAATAGTCCTTTAACAGGAAGCTCACCGGGGCTGGTGTTTGCACATGCTCATTTGTGTTTGTTAAGGCAGCAACCCTGACAAAAAACAAGTGTGCTTGCTGACGTGACGACTTCAGCTGCAAGCTGTGTACAAGACTCTTTTGCTCTACAGGTTTCCTCTTTCTCTGAACTTGTACAATAGTTAAATTACATGGTCGTCGATGACGCAAAACACACAAAAGGCGCACACGAGCGTCCCGTGCTAAAAATTATGATTATACAATCTGTACTACTACCTCGTACACCGTATTTAGGAGACCACAAGGCACTGCGGGTACCTTTTTCAAGGTGGGCAAACATTTAATGAAACAAAGTTTGAAGTTTCGGGGATTGTCCGCCAAACTTTCTATAAAACTAGCTTTCATAATGTATATTGAGCGGCCCTATCGCAAAACCGCAGCTCCGTGCTCAGATGGCGAACCGCCACAACACGGCGGCGCTAATGCTAAATTCTCAAAACGGTCAAATAACCACCTAATCCACTCGTATGGTTGCACCCGGGAAGACAGACAGACAAAACTTTCGAGCATGCGTATGCAATGAACGCTATCTTTGTGTACTGTATTCGCAGACTACGTAATAAATAATAATATTTTTATTATTATTATCTGGTGTTTAAAGTGCCAAAAATATGATAGACGCTGTAATGAAGGGCTCGGAAAATTTCGACTACATGGAATTCTTTAACGTGCACCTCAACGTAAGTACATGGGTATCAAGTGTATCCGCCTCTATTAAAAATGCAGCTGCTGCAGCCGGGACTCGATCCCGCGACCTTAACTAATAAAGAAGTGGTGGCTTTGTCGCTTCGGTAGAGGTGGCGACGGGCCGCCTTTCTCGTATGGACGAAGGTTTTGTGCTATTTACCACTAACAAATGCGCAGTGACGGAGACACGAACAGGTGACGCAAGCAAAGTATACAATTACCGCGAGAACAGTATTGCTTTACACAAACGCACAGTTCACGCACACGTAATGGCAACGTCGGCACAATAAGTAGAAGAGTGGAACCATTTTAGTGCGATAACGATTATATATATATATATATATATATATATATATATATATATATATATATATATATATATATATATATATATATATATATATATATATATAACACCTCGCACACACCTCTGCAGAGTGTGTGCGAGGCGTTAACGACTGAGCCACGAGGGAGCACTCCTAACGCGCTCAAGCGCTCAGACGCGCAGGCTCTTTTTACCTATCACTTGCCGCTCATGATGGGCATCTCAGGGAGAACTATCCTGTTTTCAACATTACCAGCGAGATGGCGCAATGAGCGCGCGCTCTCATCTCTCACGAGGACGTTGTCCCGCGGAGAGGGAGCAGGGTGGATGCTAACGCGCACTCTCATCTTGCGGTGCGGACAATCGTATGTCTTGGCTGGCCTTGAACTTTCGTCGGAACGATTCTGTTGTAGTTACCGGGCGCACAAAGGTCACTGCTATCGTTGTACAGTCTCCGTTTGCGAAAAGAACGCGCTTTTCAGCGAAGTAACAGTGAAGTAACAACTGAGGCGCTTATTCGCTTTCATCTGTACCTGTGAGCATACGTTTCCTGCGACATTGGTGCGTGAGAAACGCGGGGCACGTTTCAATCTGCTTGCCATTCTGCACATGACCTTCCGGTTATTTTTTTCTATCACGTTCACTGCTTCACCTTCGCGGCAAAGCTTCACCTTTTTTTATGGCTGCCGCGGCAGGAATAGTATCAGACATGTCGGATACGACGTTGTGACTACTCGGCTTATCTGCCCCATCGTAGACACACAGCCATTTGTCGCGCTAGGTGTACTACATACGAATAAAGTTTAAGTCGAGAGTGGCCCCTTCCAGACGAACGAAATGCGGCAGCCGATGGAATTTCGGTTCATGGCGTGTTATGACATAGTCTGCTGAATCATTCGGTGAGCAGCGGAGTTTATGGCCCGAGCATGCGAGACGTATACTGCACTATGCAATAAATGTTGTGATAGGCGGTAATCGGTGGACTACGCACGATGGGTCCAGCACAGTCGGGGCAAGGAGGACACAAGGAAGCCAGTCAAGTGAATGAATATACTTAGGCGCCAGTCCTGCTTTTTTGCATACCAACGTCATTTTACGCGCTGAATACCTAGGTTCGTAAATTATGTAGGCAAATCTACCAAAACTGCACCACGGGCAACGCGGGACGACGTGCGGTAAGACGTTCAGAAGTAATTGGATTACTGGAGGCTCTTTAGCGAGTCGCAATTAATAAAGATCTGACCATGACCTCGGTTATGCTACGCTGACAACGTAGAATTAGGGCCATTGAGACTGGGATTCGGACACACTACTCTGTGCTAAACACCACTGCACCATGTTTACTGAGGAGCCGGGCGAGGTGAAGACGCGATGAATGGCGCGACTTCAAATTCTTGGACTGGTGCATCATCAGTTTTATAACGTGAATTATGGAATATAGCATAGACAAATGTCGTATAATGCATATCAATATGAAGTTTTGCCTTATTAGATAGATAAATAGATAGATAGATAGATAGATAGATAGATAGATAGATAGATATATAGATAGATAGATAGATAGACAGACAGACAGACAGACAGACAGACAGACAGACAGAGATCGATAGATAGAAAGATAGATAGATTTGTAATTAGAAATTGTAAGTATTAGAATCGTACGGCAGGTTTAATGGTCCTCTATACGTTCAAATTGTTATTTCATTCTTTGGAAGGCACCATCAGGCGTACTGTTTCCTCAAAAGGTGCGACAAGGGGTTGGGAAGGCCAGGAGGTCAAGTGAACTTGTTTGAATACCTGTTAGTAAGATATATGTAGTGTTTCTTTCAGCTGACGAACACACGGATTGGATTTTTCTAGCAGCAGACGATCGTAATCACCTCCGCCTGGATTGCTTCCCCCCCCCCCCCAAAAATTCTATTCTTTGTTTTTTTTTTCTCTTGAATTGCCTTCGTCCAGAAGCAATCAACGATTCAATTAGTGAAACGTCATTGTCACGCTGATACAGTTCCAGCCATTTCTTTCAAAACACGTGCACCTCTGTTTTGCTTCAATGTAGTTTTTTTTTTCGCTGCGGAAAGAGAGAAATCGCTGAGGCCCAGATACGAACGGCGATTAGCAAAACGATATGCTGATTTGAATGACGTGTACTTTGATTCGGTGTTACCCGAAACAGAATCCTGAATCGTGCCAGTGCTTTTGTTTTTCAATTTATTTTTTCTACACAATTTTATTTTTGTTACAGCACCGAAACTCTCGCCTATTTAACGCATGCCATACCTTACCCAATCGAGAGAGATCCAGATTGCGTCTTTTTTATGCTAGCCCTGCTATGAGTCTCTCCCTTAATTCCTTAAATTAACTTACCGTTCGGTTATTGGGCGACTGGTTCACTTGTCTTCTGGTACCCCCATTTAAATGTAGGAACCCCTCTATTTATTCGCATTGTTCAATGGTTTCAGTCACTTTCGCTCCCCTAACTGAACTAACTGACAAAACTTAAGTAATACAATATGAATTAGCAATATGTTGTTCCCCTTTCTTGTTTATTATGCGGTCCCCTGTCACACTTTTGTTCAATCTATTCGATCAATTTCGGTACAGAGACTTCCGAAGCGCCGTATGTTCATGCACCCCGTTCATTCATTATTTCATTCAATATTCTGACGGTCAATAAATATTATATTTTCCAATTTAGTTTGTTAATGCACCCGTTCGTTCACTTATTCATGCACCTGTGCGCTCGTTCAATAATTCATTCAGTACTCATACGCAACCCTCGTTATAGCAGTGTACTTTTGCATCATTTTACGCGAACCTCAAATGAGGGATTATTTTACTGAGCACAAAAATTTAGAATTAACGGAAACCTGCAATGGGTTGTTGAAGTTTTGCCAACGTTTAGCCTAGGTCGTCATCAAATCATTCATACCACAAATTAAGAGACGCACCACGTCCCTATGCCGCTTCGGGCAATTATAGCTGTACCCTCCTCCCAACCACTGCCTCGCTTCCTCAACTCATGAGACATACTGGCATCGCTGACAATCCCAGCGCTCCCATGAGCGCAATCGACGGCTTGAGCTTCACACAGTGACGGCTGAAAGGCTGCGTGCAATCTCGGAGGCCATGCATGGTCCAGTGCACCCGGCAGATCGCCATTTGGCAACAAAGATGAAGTGCGCGGGGTTGTTTTTATTTATTTATGTTGGGTTTTTATGGCGCGAAAGCAGCAATGTCGTGGTGTGGTTGTTATCTGCTCCTATAGTTACCGCCACACTATCAGCCGATCTCATTTTATTCGTCGGTACGGCGAGAATCTTACAAAGCAAACGGAAAAATGAAAACAATTTGGTAACTATCACCGATAACCGTAAAGTCAGATAATTTGGTTGTGTTTTCAGGGGGGCAGTTACAGCAGCAGACGCACAGATTGTGGCAATGATCAGATAGCGATCGAAAGCCCGATGCTCACTCCAACTACCAGCTGAGGGGAGCGGGGGGCTGTTAGAGATTTTATTTATTTATTTCATCATTTCTTT